ATTCAACAACAAACCTGTAAATAGATGCCACAAGACAGTTCAACCAGAATTGCTAGATGGGCTAACTGATAAAGGACTTTCCTGTCAAAGCTCATATGTAAAGGCTTGAAGAAGTTCTTCCTCATTTAAGGCCACAAGGATCACAAAGAAGCAATGAAACATGACACCACCAAAGGTAACAAAACTTCAATGACTTACCCTGAAGAAATGAAGATCTATAAACTTCTGACAAAGAATCCTATATAATGAAACCTTAATATGCAAATTGACTAAACAGCAGAATGACCGGACAGCAGATCAACCATTTGCTATGATGTTATGACGTGCACTGTCCACCAGGGGGGAAGACACTCAAGGCAGAAAGCCAGGCAAGCGCAGTGGTGGTGGTTTGAGCTCTCCCTCCTCTGTGGCAGTGGGACATCCCTTAAAGGGTCTTGGACTGTGAGGGTACAGGACAGGCTGAGGGACCTTCCCCCCACCTTGCATTGCATGAATGTCATGCACCAGGCCTCTAGTTTATAATAATCCTCAAATAAATTTAATGAACTACAAGAAGATACATCTCTCTAATATTTCATTTTAGTTTTCACTTTGACCTGTTGCATGAGATTATTTAAAAATGTATGGCTTATTTTTAGCTGATGACAAATTTGAAGAAATAACTCACACTGAACATTCAGGAATTTGTAATCATATCTTGCACTTTAAAACAAATTGGATGTGGGGACCGGGTAGGGACCTGAGGAGTTAGAAATTTGAGTCATGAAGACAATGAATTTGTGATTGAACCAAATCAGTCAAGGGTGAAATTAAATAGATTAAGAAAGTCAGTTTCCAAGGTACAGGTGTCATCGGCTAACATGTTTGTGTGTTTTTTTCCTGTGACAGATTACCCATAGTCCATAGAGAACAGGATCACCAGGTCCAAAATTGCCTTTTAATCTTCACTTTGATCTCTATTTGGATATTTTGCATACATAATAGTCCCTGGCCATTCCAACCCATATTTACTTTTATTAAGACAGTTCTGAATATACTGGTTATTAACATTTTTTTGTACATGTCAAAACTAATTATACTTTCATGAATGCATTATTTCAAAACAAACACTCTAGCTCTTGTGAAAGATGTTATTAATATATTCATTTTGTGTATCTGACTAATCTCTCTTCATTATATTGTGCGTTTTAAGACTTAACTATATTTGGTTTGATACAGAATAGATGAAGTAATTTTTGTACATAAAAACATATTACTGGGGAAATGTGGAGCCTAATGGGTCAATAAAGCTTGGTAGGAGTCATTTGAAAAGGGTCTGATCAAAAGAAAATGAGCCTTTGCTCTTGGGCTGCTTTATGATCTGGTGAATACATAATGAAAACAGCTCTTAGGGAAGGATGTTCATCAGAGTTTGTAGTGGGGCAGAATGCATCTCAGAAAGTCTTGAACAAACTTTTCAGGACCAACTTCTTGCTAGGTTCTGAGATTACTAATATGAATGTGACACCAGCTTGATCTATGGGAGTTCTGAGATAGATTCACTATTTTTAAAAATATATTATATTGATTTTTTACAGAGAGGAAGGGAGAGGGATAGATAGTTAGGCACATCGATGAGAGAGAGACATTGATCAGCTGCCTCCTGCACACTCCCTACCGGGGATGTGCCCGCAACCAAGGTACATGCCCTTGACTGGAATTGAACTGGGACCCTTCAGTTTGCAGTCTGATGCTCTATCCACTGAGCCAAACCGGTTTCGGCTAGTTTCACTGTTTTCCAAGGAAATACATTAGAATACAAAGAAGGGACATTTAATCTAGACTGAGAAGAAGGACACTTTTTCTAGAAGAGATGATGCCTTGCCAGATTCTTGAAAGAGAAATAGAAATTCACCAAGAAAATCAGAAGAGGAAGAAAGTTTCAGCAATGACACAGCAAACATAAACTTAGGTTATGGCTAGACAATCTATACTAATACAAGTTTAATATGTTAATTAGACCGGGAGTTCTTCCGGGTGTCCTTCTGGACAAAGCCATGGTGGTGGGGTTGAGGCAGAGGTGGTTAGGGGCGATCAGGCTGGCAGGGGAGGGCAGTTGAAGGCGAGCAGGCCAGTGTATGGGGGGGTGGTTGGGGGCAATCACACCAGCGGGGGGACTGTTGGGGGTGATTAGGTTGGCAGGGGGGTTGTTGGGAGTTAGCAGGTTGGCAAGGGGACATTTGGCAGGGAGCAAGCCAGCAGGGGGTGCAGTTGGGGGTGAGCAGACTGGTGGAGGAGGCATTTGCAGGTGATCAAACCAGCAGGCAGAGGGGTTAGGGGCAATCAGGCAGGCAGGCCGGTGAGTGGTTAAGCGCCAGCAGTCCTGGATTATGAGAGGGATGTCCCATGGGGATTGGCCCTAAACTGGCAGTCAGACATCCCCAGAGGAGTCCCAGATTGGAGAAGGTGTAGGCCAGGTTGAGGGACACCCCCCCATGCATAAATTTCGTGAACTGGGCCACTAGTAAACTATAAGAGTGAAAAGGGTATGGGAATTAGGGATAAGTTTTCAGGAGTTTAAAGAATGTCTATATAAAGCTATAGAAAGAATGTCTATCCATAAATTTAATCATAACCAACTGGAAAAGTTTAAATATTTATATCCAACTCCCACCTTGTTTTCTTTTCCTTTACCTTTCCTGCCCCTGAAAGTTATTGATTATATATCTGTACCTCTACCAATACTCACATGCAAATTTTGTCTACTCTGTGTAGTAATGATAGACTTAATTAAGGCAGTGGCCATATATATAAGAAGAGGGAATAGTCCAAAAAAGTTACTTCTCTCTGAAATATGAATGGAAGAGATGTTTGGTAATTCAAGGATTACTTCTAGTAAGAACTGGTCAGGTTTTCTATATGAAAACATGGGAGGAAAAATAAATTCTGATTACAGTTTGGGTGAGTTTTCATGTCCAGGTGAAATATAGTTTCACCAAGAGAAGCATAGATTTGATAGGCAGAAGTAGAAGCTGAAATTAATCTAAATAAAAAACTTCCTCTAAAATACAAGGTTTCTGATGCAACAAGAGGGAATAGAGCTTAATTCTAAAGGATGCAGAGACCATAGCATCCTTGGAGATGTTTTCATTAATGATTTAGTTCAGAAAAGCTTTGTGTTGGAAAACAGGTAAACACTTTTTATGCCAAAAAGTACCATTATTTTACCTTTGATTTGGATGCATGAAAATAATTCTCATGGAATGAACAGACAAATGCAAGACAAAAACAAAGACTCTGGGAAATAGGTGAGGAAACCATTGTAAGAGTAAGCATGACATATAGTGAGCAGTGCACTATACGGGGAGGGGAGAGAGGAAAAGGACGAAAGAGTGTTAGCGATATATCTATCTATCTATCTATCTATCTATCTATATATATATATATATATATATATATATATATAATTGATTTTATACAGAGAGGAAGGGAGAGAGATAGAGAGTTAGAAACATCGATGAGAGAGAGCCATTGATCAGCTGCCTCCTGCACACTCCCTACTGGGGATGTGCCCGTAACCAAGGTACATGCCCTTGACCGGAATTGAACCCGGGATCCTTCAGTCCCCAAGCCGATGCTCTATCCATGGAGCCAAATCGGTCCCGTATATGACATATTTTAGATCTAAAAATGTGGTGGCTTGAAACTCCTTGCATATTGACAGGGAGGAAAACCATAGATCTGTGCGATTATAAGTCCATTTGAGAGAGCACGTACTTTACAATATAGACTAGAGCTTGCCAAGGGCTTTATTATTCATGCCCATAGGCATAATGGATAGAATTTTCACAAATAAATAAGTAATAAGCCTTGAAATCATCTCCCAAGAAACACACATACTCGGATGGCTTTAAGCAATTTTGATTTATGATTCAGTCTCTGGAGTGCGCCACGTGCATTTACCTGCACAGCACAGCTTTCCTGGTACTGCCTAGGAGAGTGCTCTCTACCTCAGATGTGTGTGGTGGGCATTTGCAAGCAACACCTTCTCATTTCAATTATCATGGATATTATAGCTCACGATGCTACTCACATGTTCATTGTCATGAGACCCTTGGCAGGGTATTAGTATTGTTCAAAATAATGACTTAGTCATCTGTGATTGACAAGCAGTGTGCTTAAGGTTTGTTCAACATGGAATAATACTTCATAAGCAATTTGTGTTTACTTTCCATAAAAAAAGTATAAATGTACTTTATATAATTTTTAAGTGGCATATCTTATTGAGCTAATGTTTTCATATTATATTAGAATTTCAAAATTGTTATAAGGATTTTACATATTTCTTTTTCCACAAAGCATTTGGTGATGTATCTGTTATTATATGCTACGTTTATCTGTAAATCTTCGCTAAATATATACATATATTCTCTCTTCCTTTCCTTCTTTCATTTTTTTCTGATCTGCTTCCCTTGATGACTCTATTCTTTGACTCCAGACTGGCAATATGAGGGTAAGATGACAAAAATTAAAATTCCAAACAGCCTCATGAGCATTGCTTGTCTGTCTTTGTTTCATTCTCTTTAGAACATCGTTAAAATGTTATCCACTTCCTTTAATTAGACTCTTTATCACAATTAAAGTCTAATTATGTTTGTTTCTGTCGTGAAGCTTTAATTACAACTTATCCTTGTTGATCATTCCTTTATGTTATTTCTTTGGGTTATATTACCATCCCATTATCTCTGTCCTGAAAGACTTTTGCTCTCCTGTGGTCTCTGCTGGTGTTTGCCCAGTCAGATTTGAATAGCTTCAAAGTAACTGTTATGATGTGGTAAAGTAATCTATGTGGTTCATATAATTTTATTTTAAATTAAAAGCTGTTAAAAGTAATGACCCATATTAGTTTGATTGTAGGGTTTTTCTTTTTAACTGTCACTACTCATCTCAGTGAATTTGATCTCAGGGTGAGTGCTCCCCTAAGTTATAACTTCTTACCTTTGGTTGTTTTCTCTCTTTAGATTGCAAACTAGCTAGGGGAGGACCACCAGCTACCATAGTTGCTATTGATGAAGAGAGTCGGAATGGTGAGTGAGCTTTCTGTTTGCAAGTGACTTATCTAAGAGGGATTTCTTCCCATTTTAATGCTATATTTGTTATGTGCAGAAGTACTAGATAAAAGCTTCAACCCACGTTCACAAACAACTCTCTTTTAACTTTTCCCCGGTAAGGGTTTAAATATCGTCATTTCCTGGTAATGCTTTACTTGGATTATATTATGAGAAATTCTAGACAGTTGCATAGTTTTTGTTGTGAAGGAATTATTTGATTTAGGATCAGTCCAGGAATATGCATTCAGATACTGCTGGAATTTTTCTTTGTTGATAGACAGACTTGATTTTTATTTCATCTAACTGAAATACATTACACTCCTTCAAAAGAAGTGTATCACAAGGTAAGTCGTACACTGCTAACTTAAATTGACCGGAATCTGGTAAGGATTAGGATCCACAGTTTATTAGACATGGCGATAAAGAAATGGTTCATGGGAAAAGGAAAGTGCATGAAAACAGAAAAAGCTGACAGAAAGTCTAGGGCAGACAAAGAAGTATGAATCTCCATGCAGGTTGTCTGTCATATGGAATAACTGATACCTAATTCATATTAAGTTTTTTGAGAAGATGTTTTCTTATCAGAACCAAAAGTAGATATAATTAGCACTTTTTTTTCCCACAACACTCTTTTAGCATCTCAAAATGTTAATGTACAAATATTAAAGACTAGAGGCTCAATACATGGAAATTCATGCAAGAGTAGGCCTTCCCTCCCCCAGCTGCTGACACCTGCTTCTCTCTGGCAACCGGGACCCAGGCTTCCCTCCAGCCGCTGGCCGGCACCCCGACCCTGGGCTTTCCTCGCAGCCCTAGCTTCCTCTGGAAGGTCGTCCAGAAGGACATTTGGTCTAATTAGCATATGATTATGCTTTTATTATTATAAATTCTGCTCTATTAGGTAGGAGTGAAATAATCCATTGAGTGCTGGTTCCTATTTCAAACTAAGTGTGGGAATGTGCCTTGTGGCTTATTTTGTCTTCTGATTCTATAATGGAGCTTCCATTACTCTTCTTTGATTTGTACTTTCTGTTTATTTTAAGCATTGCATTTTCTAGATTTACATTTTAAAATATATATCTTATTGATTTTTTTACAGAAAGGAAGGGAGAAGGATAGAGAATTAGAAACATTGATGAGATCAGCTGCCTCTTGCACACCCCCTACTGGGGATGTGCCCACAAACAATGTACATGCCCTTGACTGGAATCAAACCTGAGACCTTTCAGTCCATAGACTGACGCTCTATCCACTGAGCCAAACTGGTTTCGGCTAGATATACATTTTTAAAGAAAAAATTGTCAATTATTAAAAATATATGTTTTTAATTGAATTAAACCAACATAAATTTTGAAAACTTCTACAATATTCATAATACCTGCATTATTCTAGTCACTTCATCATGAATTTATTGTGCAGTATTAGAAATATTCCTTTTACTCCTTTGAAGAGTTGTCATCAAGTCATTGTGAGTTGTTTTCGATGAAAGGTATACACATAACATTTTTTTTTTTTGTACATCCTTAAAAATAAGCCAAAAATGTCTGCAGCTTTGCTGGCTTCTGTTTAAACAACTTAAATATGTATTGGCAGCACTTAAGAAATCACAAAAAAATCAGGTGCTTTTTTTGTTAAGTCAATTTCTGTTAAGCATGAAAGCATATTAAATTAATTATAATTATTATGATTCATTTAAATACATTGGAAATAAACTCTTAAGTGTGTCCATAGAAAAGGAAACATACAAAAATACTGTACCAGAAAAATCTTCTACCTCACTTGTAGAATTATGGATTATTTATGGTTAAATATTTTTCTGTTAATACGTTTATATTTTCTAAATGTTCCACAATGAAAACAATTTGCTTTTTTTTTTTAAACCAGAGATAAAAATAAAAAGGACAGAAGGCCAATCTGTATTTCTTTTTCATATTGTTCACCAATTCCCTTGAACATATAAGCTGAGTTGAACTAAAACATTTCGTTTAACTAAATATTTGTGTTTTAATGTGTGAGTCTATACAGAGCTTATTCTGCCAACCAGATAATTATAGCTATAGTTTTGATGATATTTTGTCTCCTGTCATGTAGATTATCCCACTTTTCAAAGGAGCTTAAGAACTCTGCAAATACATTGCTATAGTATATTGCAAAGATGTTGCTGTTTGGTGGCATATTGTGAAAGATTAATATTTTAGTTTTAGAAGAATGTGACTTGATATAGTGCAGTAATGTTGTACTCTTTAATTGGGTTATTTTGAAGAGACTGCCAGCTACTGAAAATGCTGCCAAAGTTATTTGAGTGTCATCACAAAGTATTAATAAACAACTCAGAGACTAAATGGTTTACATTTTTTTACATTAAATTTCCAAAATATGGTGATTAAATGAACATCTGCCAGATAGTATAATGTACTATGCAATCTTCCGTACCTTAAAAGTCTAAAGGAAACAATCCATGAAGATGTTTTCTATCATTTTTTAGGCAATCTAAGAAAGTTCCCAATAAGACCATGAATTCTAGTACCGCTCTTAAAATATCTTAATTTCTCTTTTCCAGCATTTTAAATAGTAGTAACAAAACATGTGGGTATCATATCCTACTATTATAATAAGCATTCATTTTTAAAGGTTCCAGGGCTTTTTTTAAAAAAAAAATATTTTTTATTGACTTTGGAGAGAAAAGAAGAGAGAGATAGGAACATCAATGATGAGAGAGAATTATTGATGACTGCCTCCTGCATACACCCTACTGGGGATCCAGCCCACAAATCTGGACATGTGTCCTGACTGGGAATTGAACCATGACTTGCTGGTTCATAGGTTGATGCTCAACCACTGAGCCACATTGGTCCGGGTGTTCCAGGGCTTCTTAAAAGTATTAGTTAGTTTATTGTGTATCTACTTGTGTGTCTACTTGTGTGTCTACTTGTGTGTCTACTTGCCCATCTGGTCCATCTGGCCTCTAGTAAGTAAATAAAATATTTTTAAAGACATTATGTCCTTTAGGCTAGACTGCTTATGGACGTTACACGGCACTAAAATCATGATTCTAAATTTCTTTGGCATCCTATTGTTTATTTTCCCCACTTGTCATCAAGTCATTGTGAATCGTTTTCGATGAAAGGTATACACATTGATGAGAAAACAGAATTTTTTTCGTAACTTATGGATGACTTAAATGATACTATCCAACATACATTTGCCAATGTTGGACCTACATTTATGTAAAAAAATAAATCATGTCCACTCTTTATATATTTTAAAATCTTACTATTGTGACTCTAAGACAAGTTTTATAGTAGCAAACAATTTGGCTCTGCTCATTACTGCTGATGCTGTATGTGCAAGGATGCATCCTGCTTCATTTATGCCAAAGAATCATTTTCTAAAAGGTCAGCAGCTGCAAACTGAATATATAACTTCAAAGTGATAAGTAAATAGAAAAGTTTCTAAGCATTAGCAAAATAGGTTGTTACTTATCTCCTTAAGCTACCTAGAATTTTTTTTGGCATTTAATCACATATTTAATTTATGATCTTCCTTTCCTCATTTGGTTAATAAATAGGGCCCCACATGGAAAGTGACTGCTGGAGTGAATGGAATGATCATGAAACAAGTGGCAGGAGAAGTTCACAAAGCAGAGAGAAGGCAAAAAATAAATAAATAAATAGCCAGTAAGCTAGGGCATTTTATACAGGAAAACAACCCTAAACATTAGTGACCCCTCATTTTAAATTTCAGAATGCCGATGTTATTAACAATAGCAAAAAGATTCAATCATGCAAAATAACCTCTGGTTTCTGAAGAAATGAAAAAAGCACATTTAAGAAAAGACATTTTAGTTCTAGGCAGTTTGGCTCAATGGATAGAGCATCGGCCTGCAGACTGAAGGGTCCTGGCTTTGATTCTGGTCAAGGACATATGCCTGGGTTGAGGGCTCAATCCCAGGTGGGAGGGGTGCAGGAGGCAGCTGATCAATGGTTCTCTCTCATCATTGATGTTTCTATCTCCATCTTTCTTCCTCTCTGAAATCAATATAAATGTACTTAACAAGAAAGAAAGAAAAGACATTCTAATCTAATTGTACCTTTTCTTTTTGTTAAATCCTATATTGTAATTATATACCTAATAGGAAAACTCTGAATTATATAGAATTAAATTATTTCATGCACACACATTTAATCCTACATGAACCTTTTTCTATAGAGAAAAACAAAAAAACAGAAAACTAAATTATACCTTACTAAGGCAAACAAGTGAAGCTAGTATTAACTTCATTTGCATACACTGTTGGAACATAGGCCATGGGCCTTGAAGGGCAGTCAGAATAGTGCTCTATAGTAGAAGGTGAGAAGGCCTATTAGGTTCTATCCATTTGTTAGCATGAAGAAAATAAGATCCTATAATTCCTAAATCATTTTAAGTTAAATGTTGATACCTTTCTTGAGCCAAACAAGACATAACTGTGTGCCTCATCTATCCCATCGGTGTTTTGACTTCTAATCCAGGCAACAAGAATGATAGAAATAGAATGATGAAAAAGACCAAGGTTATTCTGCAAGGCGGACAGACCATCCGTAGAGAGATACTTTTTAAAAGGGAGGTCTTGGTTTTGAGACTATTTATTTATTTACATATCCAACATACTGTTGTGTAATTTTTAGTTTAGTTGGGGTGTGAGGCCCTGGTGGAAATTATGGTTTTAGAATAAAGCTCCTGGGATTTTTCTCTGTCCAAGACTTTTCCTAAACAATGTCTGCATTTGTTCCAAAAAACATAAATGGTCCTATCACTTCTTCTGTTCCTCATGATGGAATATTAACTGCTAGATCATTAAACATTCTTCGTGAAGCTATGGGGTTAAGAACTTTCTTCTCTGGTAGGACACTGGAAATCTAAAATGGGTCACTATTATTACTTTTGAACAAAGTAATCAGCAATGTAAAGGTTTTTAGCAATACTGGATGAAAATA